GAAGGCGACACTGGAAGGGCTGAGCATGCAAGCCTACCCCTATGGCCCCTCCGTAGCCCTAAAAAATTAATTTAATATCATGCGACCCGATGGACCACGGATCAGATATTAAACTGATCAGAACATATACTACACTTGATCTTAGCCAAAGGGCCGAGAAAGGTATGGCTCCTGTTTTTCATCTTTTTTTTTTTTTTCTATTTTTTTTAAGCCTAGGTTGTTGTAGTGGCTGGGGATCGATTGAGGGCGGGTACTGTCATAAGAGGGCTGGAATGGAAGCTTCCCAGTACGATACCCCCAGGACTATTCCGGCCAAGCCAAGTCGGAAGTTTTCCGAGGTGGTATATCCCTGTCTAATGGTGTTTCACTGGCGCCAGGTATGGCTTCATGGCTCCTACTTATTTACGACATCGGCCACGCCAGAACGGAAACTTTCAAGGGGTCACCTTCCCCGTACTATTCCAGCGCAATCAGTTGGTGGGTGGACACGCGACAGTGGGACTGCCACCCTACCCATCCTCACATCAGTTCTCCTAATGTACCCCTATGCCCGCTATCCTACCTCTGTGACAAGCAGTCACTGCAGGACAACCACCCCCAGCCCCTCAAAGGGTGACGTGGACCGAAGAGCGGTTATAGGCACCAGGCTAGACAGCTACCCCACCCAGCCTTAGTGGAAGCAGGAACGAGCAATCCCTGTTTCCTGGGGATGCCGAGTGTTAGGACTAAGCCCCATGGTGGTGTGCCAGTGTCTGTAATGATTACCATACACCCTCCCCCAAGGGATTAGTGTGCAGAGCCATCCGTCGGCCAACGACCACCGGTGTCCTATGTGGGAAGAATCATTGACCATCGCAGAGCACCCTCCAGGTCATTGGACAGGAAAATAAAATTTATTCGAGACCTTGATAATCGCGACGGATTACTGTCTCGGAGGCACGTGAATGTGCGTGCTTGGGGATGCAGCCGTCGGAATGTATCGAAAACGGAAAGCAACTCGCAGAGGTCTGCTATCATTTGTTCATCCTCCATCGCAACAAAGGAGGGAGATTCTTGGGGGTTCCATCTATCCAGGCTTTTATTCGGGGTCGCATTGAAATCCCCTGCTATTATTAGAGGAATCCCCTCTAGGACTTGCATTCCCATCCTCCCCAGGAATTCCCTCCTTTCTCCGACTGAGTTTGGTGAGTAAATACAGATAATACAGAGGAGCTCCAGTTCCAACATCCCAAGGACCGAGGCCCACCGCTCCCCCTCCTCATCCACCACCCAATGAACCGGTTGAAACCTAGAATCCGGGGGTATCCAAATGGCGACCCCGGCAGAACCCGGTGTTGGGGCGTGAGCTCTTATGGCCATGTGAGGCCAGACAAGACTCTGGGCTCTATTATGATCCATGATGTTTTGCAGGTGGGTTTCTTGTATACAGATTACGTCTGGCCACCGCCTTCCCCCGATGCCCTTAAGCTGATCCCAGATGGTCTGGCGTTTTTCCGGTTTGCAGGATGTCAGGCCGTTCACATTGAGGGAGCGAAGGTCCAGGTGGGCAGAGTGAACACATTTCTTCCAGGTCAGGTTCCGATAATATAGAATATCTATATCGTCCATTGCTTGATGACCCCCC